AGTGCCTGCCCTGAAAGCATCTGTGAACTCAGAGAAAGCAGGAGGGAAAGAGAAAGCGGGGGTGGGAGGGTGGGGGGGATGGGGGGGTTCTCTTTCTCTCCCCTCAATGTTGGTGGGAAAGACAAAGGGCTTTGCAAGCTTAACCAACACTGAAATCACTGTTGTAAGAGATCCATCTTTGGGCTGCAGAAATGGCTCTGACTCAGGGTAAAATCTCAGTACCTCCTACAGATGGCAACTCCATGTTTTATTATTTGCTGATTCATTGTGTCTCTAATGTGGGACACCATGTACTGCAAGCATCCTTCCTAATACGATGTTTTCACTCACAACAGGGCTTTGCAAATCCAACCTTCTAGCTTCATCAATAAACACCTAAGCTGATGGGAAGACAGACAATACTTAACTAAGTAGATTTCATTTTTTGTTCTCTTCATGCTGTAGGCTAGTGACCACTAACTAACACCCAGCCTGATCCTAAAACTGCCCACTCCTTATCGTAACCCCACAGGCAGGATGGCCTCAGAGAAAACTGCTTTCTGATCTAGCAACTTTCGGGAAGACACCCTCCCTCTCACTGGATCCCCACCATCTCTTTCCTTCCGTTCTCCCATATTTTCTGTTTCTAAGAGAGGACAACCCTCTTCAGCTAAACACTGGAGAAACTTGAGGACTTACCACTAGGGGCTTATTGCAACACTCCCGGACCAAGCTCTATCACAAATTTGCATTTTAAAACAACATTTAGAAAAACATCTAGGCAGGTTTAGTGGTGCTCACTTTAAGTCTCAGTAAAGGCAGGTGATCTCTGTGAGTTCAAGGCCAGCCTGGTCTACACAGTGAGTTCCAGGAGGGCTGTTACATAGAGAAACCTTGTTTCAAACAACAAAACAAAGCAAACTAAAACTAAACCCAAACTAAACAAACAAAAACCAAGAACAGTGACAATTCTGAAAGAGGCCAAGTCCACTCACCCATCCCTTTTCAGTGAGTTTGACAATATCAGAAACACTTGGAATGTTAGAGATTTGTTCCTAGTCCTAAGAATTCTGGGCTCAAGGGAAAAGATCATAGAATTTAGAGGAAACTCTGTGACACTCCCAGAGACAATGTGGGGAAAGTGGGCGGGGGGAGGGGGGCTGCCCTCAGTTACTCTTGTGCAGAATATCACCTTTGAGCAGAGCCTAGCCTACAATCTTGACCTGATTTGTACACACAGAGTATCAGGACCAGGAAAAGGGGACTATTTACAGAAGAACAGCTTGTTTACCTGAGTAAACACCCACCATCTGCCCGCACACCAAGAGCCATTAACTATACCAGTAAGTAACAACACCTGAAAATATACCAAATCATACTAGACACGCCAGACTTGGGAGCTTTTAATCCACACAGATGGAACCCTCTTAACTGAGACCAAAAAAAAAGACCAAAAAGACCAAAAAAGACCAAAGTGTGGCCAGCATGAGTCATGACAGGGTCTCAGGGTCAAAGCCAGGAATCTTCTCAACTCTTTGCTAACCATGTCCCACCTTAACCTTTCTCCAGCAGTTTCTTCATGGCAGTTTCTTCATGGCCAAACACTCAGCCCACTTCAAACTCAGCATCCAACAGCCAGACCTCCCGACAGGCATTTGGCATCTCTCACCTGCACTGCTGAGACTGGTCTCATCTGGTCCCTCCCGATTTCCCCTTAGGCCCTCCCCAGCTCTCTGCCTGTGACTTCAGGACAGACTCTGATCTCTGTGGCTTCTTTAACCATTTCCTAGCCATCTTGAGCTGTCTATCATTGTGTGACATGTGGATGTGTGATCTGCTGGCTAATGCTGGTGATTCAAACTGGGATCAAAGGGCCAGGTGTGGTTGTGCACATCGTTCATCCCAGTACCTGGGAGGCAGAGCCAGGCAGCTCTATGAGTTCAATGCCAGCCTTCTCTAACTACATAGGTGCAGGCCAGCCAGTGCCAAATAGTGAGATACTGTCTTACAACAACAAATTGGGGATGAAAGGCCACGCTTAGTAGCACATAACCTTTTAGCCCCAGTACTCTGGTCAAGCAGGCAGGCAGATGTTTTATCAAGTCAGTCTATATAGTGAGTTCCAGACAGGCAAGACTACATTGTGAGACTCAGTCTCACAACACAAACAAGTTAAAAGACTGGAATAAAGCATTTGCATTGCCACTGCCCAGAGAAAAAGCAAAGTCAGGCTTATTTGGCAAATCACTACCACCACCACCAATGCTGGTGAGTTTGTGTAGTCAATAAATTGTGACACTGTGACGTGCCTGGCAGAACTGAGGATAGTCTAAAGACACTGCAGCAACAGAACTGAGGATAGTCTAAAGACACTGCAGCAACGGACGCCCCACTCCACCCTCCCCAGTGTTCCAACCTCGATTGAGCTCGAAACACACACACACACACACACACACACACACACACACACACACGCGCGCGCGCGTGCGCGCGCGCGAATTTCTTCAGAAATCTCATGCTGAAAGAAGGAAAAGGTGCCAATCAGAGGGGGCAGCTTGTCTCTCAGAAAGGGATTTCACACTTTCCCAACACCTTGTCAGGTCACCTTCAGGGAAGACTCAAGCCCCACAGTGACTGGTCAGTGGAGACGGGACCACACCTTCACCTGCACGCCTTGCATGTGCATGTCCTTGTCTTCTTTAGACTGCCTCACTTCAGGGCACTGAAGACAGACTTAGGGCCCACCTAGATCTCTCTGTCCCCCTTTCCAGTGTGCCCCGGAGACATTCATTTCCCCAAAGCTTGGCATGTAGTCAAAAGCCAGTATTCCCTCAGGAAGGGAAGGCAAAAATAAGTGTTCACAAAAGCTTTGTTTTCCCCATCTTAAATGCAGCTCCAACTTGCGTTGTTTAAAAGCCTCAGGAGTTCAGTCTGGCTGTGATGGGCAGTAGTCTAGCCATAAAGAATTGCTCAACCTGAGCCTGCCCATTCCTCTTCTCCTGCAGATACAATAGATCTTTGTAGAAAACTCTGCTCCCAGTCAAACCAGAAAAAATACCTGTAACTTCCTGGCAGCTACCTTTCTGTATATACAAGTTCCTCACATCCTCTCATGCAGTTTCCTGAGCTGAGTCGCATGGCCCGTCAGGGCAGAAAGGGCTCCGGGGTCCCCTTTCAGATATCCTGTAAATTATCCTGCATATCAGACTTTAGAAGTCACAACAGCAGCAAAATTACAGTTATGACGTAGCAACGAAAATACTTTTATGGTTGGAGGGAGTCACCACACGAAGAACTGCATACAAGGGTGGGAGCATTAGCAAGGTTGAGACCCAGGGCTGGTGCCACTCCCTCGCTGCTCCAATAAATCCGTCTCAGTCTATTGAAGTAAGAATTTGCCTCATTTTATTCTTCTTTCTTTACATTGAGAGTCACAGGTGCTCTGGAATACTGCATGTAGTGTGACGAGATTTTTGGGGAAAGACGAGGCAGTTATAGAACCAGAGTCCTAACCTTCACCGTCTAAGCAGCTCCACCCCCATCCACCCTCATTTGAGCGCCTGCCCAGGGCTTCTGGTTCCCCACAGCTTCTGGGCGACACAGCCCAGGCTACAGAGACGCGGGCTGCGGGCTCCCACAAACCCGACAGCACTGCGCACTTGGCGACGGACAGGACGGCGGCTCTGCCTGCTGAGCCGCATCGGACCCGGAGCCAGGGGAGACTCGGCTGCCTCAGAAGGCCGGTTCCCACTGCAGGCTCCGTGCGCAGCATCCCTCCTCCCCACATTCTCCATGCGGGCCGAACATACCATTTCCAGCACCAGTGTCCTGTGTCCTCTGGCCGCTCCTGCTGTCAGTGAAGGGGATTTTGGTTTCTAGGACTGGAATCTAGGACATACTTCCTACGAGCGCAACATGCCTAACGTTGGGGGTTAAGGAAACAGACCTAGGTCAGGCAAATTCCCTCACTTAAGAAGCGTACTCCTCATTGGACAATTCAGACACTAAAGTAATAACCTTTGTCCTGATAGGCCAGCGAGCCCTTGGCTCAGGTCCTGGAGCTCTAGTGACAGGAGACACAAGTTTTCCTAGGACAAGTAGTGAGCAAATTACACACTCTAGGCCCTAGCTTTCTATCTGTGTCTGGGGGAAAGTGCTCTAAATATAATTTGTCCTGGCCTTCACTTGCTCGTAACAAACAATTCCTACTTCCTCCTCAGAGTGGGGTGACATCAAGAGTTTAGAGAATTCCAGACTCAGTGGCCATGGAAACAACTCAAAGGGCTGCCTTGAACAGACTGGTCCCATTGGATAAGGAGGGAGAGCCTCATTAAAGGAAATTTCCTTCCCCCATCACTCCACAGCCCACACACCCAGCACCAACCTGCCCAAGATTTCGGGAAACCTACCCACGGAATTTACAAAAACAGGCAATCTGGTTTACCTTTGACCCTGCCAGTTACGGGTGGGGGTGGGGGGAAGACAGACAGACAGACAGACAGGAAGAAAAAGAAAAGAAAAAAGAAAACCAGTTTCTGGGCCTGTGGAAGCCAGGACCTCCTCCTCCTCCCCGCTCTCCACTGCAAAAATTGATCCTCAGCTCTAGCTTGGTACGTTCAGGTTTGGAAGCCTTACTTTGTCAGACCAATAAAAATCTGCTCTCGATCTATGTTAGTCAGGGTTCTGTGGTGTAACAGAACACACACACACACACACACACACACACACACACACACACACACACACACACACACACACACACGTTTATGGATATATGTGTGTGTATACATTTGTGTATATATACATATATATGTTTTTAGGGGATTTATTTAAATGATTTACAGGCTGTGGTCTAGCTAATCCAACAATGGCTAGCTATAAACAGAAAATCCAGTAGTTGCTCAATAAGTATATCTGCACACCAGAAGAGGGCACCAGATCTCATAACAGATGGTTGTCAGCCACCATGTGGTTGCTGGGAATTGAACTCAGGACCTCAGGAAGAGCAGTCAGTGCTCTTAACCTCTGAGCCATCTCTCCAGCCCCACCTCAAGATCTGTATTTAAGGCTTGTCTTTTCTCAGCTTAAAACAAAAAAAAGCAAACCGACAACCAAAAACCCACATTATAAGTGTGCATTCTTACCCAAAAGACCCGGATTGAATGTAGTCAAGTTGACAGCCAAGGGTAGCAATCACACATTGTTTCACAGTCAAACCAAGTCTATTCTTTCATTTTCTTTTGCTGACTTATTTTTTATTACACTGGAATTTTCTCACCTTGGAATTTGGAATGAGGGAGGTTCTCAAGGCTTTCTCAATCCCATATTCAGCCAATAACATAAAAATACACAAACAAGTGATGACAATTATTCCAGTCAGGGAGAAAGTGGAATTTATAGTGAAAAACTGGTTCAAAATAATAGCAAAATTTACCACACATTAAAAATTAGATTCTTAGATGTGGTGGTGCAGGCCTTTGTCCAATGCACTTGTGAGGACTTGGGATAGTCCTGAGTTCTGTGAGTTCAAGGCCAACCTGGTCTATCTAGATAGAGCTACCTAGTTGACCTTGTCTCAAAAAAATAACAATAAAAAATTAGACCCTGACTCTCAGTTTCACGGCATGATTCATGATGTTGTAACAGGGTCCTAGATTTTTCTTCATCTCCAGAACTTTGCACAACTAAGTCCATGATGGAAGTCTCATTCAAGCTGTAAAAAGTCAGCATATACACAGAACCACCAAGTCCATAGTTCTCATAAAGTCTGTAAATATACTTCCTTCTTTTTGGCTAACTGTTCTTATTAACTGAAGTATGTCAACACTGGACATGGGGTTCATGCATAAAAGCTCACACTGAGAAAAGCTTGGGACTACACTGGGATCCCACTGGCTGGCTAATAAAGATGCTCTGTTAGCTTAAACCCATGTTTGAGCATTCTTCTCTGGTGGATACCCCACAACAGTGTTTCCTACAAACATTTACAACTGACCTTCCAATGAATGGCACATGGCACCTAATCCTATATGGCTAGTGTAAACAAACTAATGGGTGCTAGAAAAATCCAGCCTCTTCCTCTCAAATACAGTTCCTAGCTGGAGAGATGGCTCAGTGGTTAAGATCACTGGCTGTTCTCCCAGAGAACCTGAGTTCGATTCCCAGCACCCATATGGTGGCTCACAACCATCTCAGAGGGAAATGATGCCCTTTTTCTGGCATAAAGGACCACATGCATATAGAACACTCATACATAAAATAAATAAATACTAAAAAATAGATCCTATTTAGGACAAATGGTCCAGCAGTAAGACTAAATACCATCTCTCTCAACAGCTATAAAAGCCTCCCATATCCTCTCACTAATGCAATGAATTCTGTTCTCTGGCAGTCAGTTGGTTTGCACAGCGGTGTATTTAATAAATTGTCTAATATTTTACTTTTATCTTTGTTAGGTCCAAAGCAGTCTTCCAAAATGGCAGTGTTGGTCACAATGTTCTAAACAGAAGGGTGTTTATTGGGAGCAGATCTCCTAAGGCAGGTTTCTGTTTGTCAGGAACATCTCTTAATCCATCCCAAAGATCAACTCCCATGGGCAGGGACATCAAGTTCCTAATCAATCATAATAACTCAAAGACCCTCACCTGTTGGCTGTCGTGTAACATCTGCTTGCTTTAACTCAATTTTGCTTCTGTCTTCCCCCAACCCTGAGAGACAGCCTTAGTTGTGTAATCAGTGTTGTAACTTAGAAATTGGTGTGAGAGAGAAAAATGCCATGTGACAGCTCATGTGGAGGGGCTTTTTATTTGGGGAAGGGAATGGGAAAGGGGGGAGTTGAGGGGGGAGTCCAGCATCTGGGGACAGGGGTGGCAGAAGAGGGAAGAGAGAGGGAGAGTGGGAGAGAGAGAGGGAGAGAGGGGGAGGGAGAGAGAAGGGGAGAGGAAGAGAGGGAGAGGGAGGGAGAGAGAAGGAAAGAGGGGGAAAGAGTGGGAGAGGGGAAGAGGGAAAGGGAGGGAGAGACAGGAAAAGAGGGGGAGAGGGAGAAAGGGAGAGAGAAAGAGATGGGAGGTGGATAAGGCCACCTTTTAAAAAGGAATGTAGTGAATAAGCACAGGAGGTGCTCTTAGTGGCTGCAGTTGAGGACATATCCTGACAGGACCCCAAGGGCAGGCCAATACAGATGCCTGAACACTAACAATCACCAATAAACCTTTCTTTCTATCCAGGGAGTGGTCCAGTTTGGTGATTTCACTGAACCCAGGCTTACAATCTTTTGGCTAAACTCAAAACAGTCTGCATGTTCCTGGCCTATTGTGATATTTTGTTTGTGTTCTGACAAAGCTTGCCTGGAGATTAGAGGGTGGAGCTAGCCACTAGTTAATCATAAAGGTCTGGAGGTTTGTACAGAGAGGGGACAAGAAGTGACAACATGGAGTGGAGACAGGAAGTGATAAGGCAGGGTGTAGACAAGATCTTGGCCTTTTAGGTCTGAGGATAAGAGATAAGAAGTGACTGTGGGGCTGGAGAGATGGCTCAGAGGTTAAGAGCACTGACTGCTCTTCCAGAGGTCCTGAATTAAATTCCCAGAAACCACATGGTGGCTCACAACCATCTGTTATGAGATCTGGTGCCCTCTTCTGGTGTGCAGATATACATGGAAACAGAATGTTGTATGCATAATAAATAAATAAAATCTAAAACAAAAAGATTTAAAAGAAAAGAAGAAGTGACTGTGACTACTCCTTTGCTTCTCTGATCTTTTAGCATTTACCTTGATATCTGACTCAGGGTTTTTATTGATAAGACTAATTAGAATCACACTTTACTGGCCCGTCAGAATTGTCCATCACTGGCCAAATATAAGGTGCCAACATTAAAAAAGGGACCAACAGAGAAAAAGAAGGAAATACCTGATGTCATCCAGATAAGTAGGCTATTAAGAAAAAAGGAAAACCCATACTCACAAGGTCTTCTTTCCAAGCTGAAGGGCCAGACTGACACTGAAATGAAGCCCTAGAGAGGATCACTGGGGAATGGCCAAGGGCAATCAAGGATGGGACTCTAAAAGCCTACAACCCACTCCTGTCACAGTACCATCGGTGCATCTCTGTTTATCCAAACCTACATAATTATCAGTGGGACTTCTCACTGTAAGAAGTCAGCAAAGCTGGGCATGGCCGTGCACACCATTAATCTCAGCTCTCAGGAGGCAGAGACTGGTGGACCTCTGAGTTTGAGGCCAGCCTGATCTATAGAGCTAGTTCCAGGACAGCCAGAACTACACAGAAACCCTGTCTCTAAAACAACAACAAAACAAACGAAAAAGAAAGAAAGAAACAGTCAGCAGAGAAAAAACAAAGAATAGACCGAGCTCAACCTCAAATCAAAGAGAGCAGGCTTTTATGAGTCTGAGAGAGTGGCCTCCCCAAGCCCTGGACTCAGTATCCCAGGGTACCAGAGAGTGAGCTGAGCTGGGCCTGAGAATCAGTGTTTGTGGTGGAGAGTAGGGAGGGAAAAGGCCTGGTTTCACCAGACACACAAACTGCTTTATTATTATTTTTAACCATATTTTGGGGTTTTGAACCTCCCGCCTCCAAGCACATCTTGCAGGCTGGCTGCTCTCTAGGAACTCCATGGGCAGCACATTTCTTGAAGCCTTGGGTCTGTTAAATGGCCCTGGTTTGTGGTGGGGGTTTACTTTAAGCAGTCTCACCTAAACTCAGGATCCAGAAACCCTTTCTCCACAAGACCCACACTTGCTGAAGACTTCACCTAAGCCCGGCCTTCACAGAAACTGAGCATTTCAAATCAAGACACTGTCCAGAAAATGCCACCACCCCAATAGCCATCTCTTCAGTCACATCTGTACCCCAGTTTCCTGTGTCCCTACTTCCCACTCATCTGTCTTTTTCCCCAAAGACTTCAGCTGGCTGCTGGAGGTCCACCTGTACAGCAGGCTTAATGTTTGTAGCATCTCCAAAGGCTTCATGGGCACAGGCATAGCTTTGTCTGACATTATATCCTCTATCTGTCATTCCAGTTACATGTGACATTCCATTTATTTATTTATTTATTTTTATTTATTTATTTATTTTTGGTTTTTTTGAGACAGGGTTTCTCTATGGCTTTGGAGGCTGTCCTGGAACTAGCTCTTATAGACCAGGCTGGTCTTGAACTCACAGAGATTTGCCTGCTTCTGCCTCCTGAATGCTGGGATTAAAGGCAGGTGCCACCACTGCCTGGCTTATTCTGTCACTTCTACACATGGACACTTGTATAGAAATAAAAAGTTCAAAACAACAAAAAACAAAAACAAAAAAACAACCACAACAACAACAAAAAACAAGCAGCAAATTTTCCTTCTTAACAGCACACAGATCCTAAGGGCTTGGAGGCTGGTCCAGCAGTTGGTAATAACTTATATAAACAATTGGTGCCTAATTCCTAAGGCCCTGGCCTCGTTTTGAATACTGGAAGACACCAGTCTCTCCTCGGGTGTGAAAACTGTGTGCCTGTGGTGTACGGGCTTGGAGTTTCATGGGGTGGGAAGGGCTGCAATGGAAGGTTACATTTGCAGTCAGCTCCCCTACAGCTCAAAGAGACAGATACCAGCATGGGCAGCAGAAGCTCCACAGGTGTTATCAGTTGGTTCAACTTTCTCAGTGCACCTGAGGCTTTCAGGTTTTTTGTTTTTTGTTTTTAATTTTGTTTTGTTTTGTTTTTGAGAGGGTGGGGGTGGAGTGTGATGGTAGTTGAAATGTTCTCTCTCCACAGTCCTGGCTGACCTGGAACTCACTGTGCAGGTCAGGCTGGTCTTGACCTCACAGAGATCCACCTCCTTCTGTGAGCCATCATGGCCCAGCCCAAGAGCCATTGTTATTCAAATCTCCACACCCTGCTTCTCTTCTCCATCATCTTCCTTTGAGTATCTGCCCAGATTGAGAGCTTCCCTGCTTGAGGTTCTTCTGCTAAACTTTATTCAAATTATCCCCCACCTCATTTTGCATGCATTCTTTATATTCTTTTATTAATGAGACTAAGAACCCTGAGAAAGGAGCCCAATCCTCAGTGATGGACTCAGATCTCCCTGAGATCACAAACTAAAATGAAGCCTCACTTCTGCCTTAGATGGCTTCAGTCACCTGTCTGCTCAGGGGCTGCCTTGAACATTCGTGTGCATATTTGTGTCCAAAAACTTGTTTTCTTTGTGTTGAGTACCCACCCACTAGAGCTTCAGGATAAAACGGAAATTCTGTTTCTCTCCTTGAACTGGCAAGCTGTTTCCATAGCAGTTGCAATAATCCACAATCTCTCCAGAAAGGTATAAGGGTCCAAATTATTCCACATTCACCCCAATCAACACTTGTTGCTTCCCCTTTCTGAATGTTTCCTGGTGGGTGTAAATTGGCCTTGTGTCATGGTTTTCTCTACATTTTTCCAATTATTAATGACATTGAACATCATTCCAGATACTCTGTAGCCCATGAAATAACATCTTAAAAGGACATTGTACTGTATGATTGCATTGTGTTGTATTATAATTGTATGTGTGTCATATTATTAGAGGAAAATAAAAATAAACACAAAAATATGGTGATAGGGGCTGGAGAGATGGCTCAGCAGTTAAGAACACTAACTTCTCTTCCAAGGACCCAGGATCAATTCCCAGCCCCCACACCCAATTCTAGTACACTTGACACTCTCTTCTGGACAGATATGGTGTACAGACAGACAGACAGACAGACATGCAGGCAAAACACCCATACAACACAATAACAATAAAATAATTTAAAATATTGTTATAAATAAACATAAAAGACATGTCTGAGAGAATATTGACAATGATTACCTAGTATATTAGACTCATGGGTGATACATTTCTGTTTTGTATTTTCCTTCTTTTATGGTATGTATTTGAATAACAAAGTATTTGACATGAGAAGGGTAGAGGCAAAACCCCCAGATGTGACTTTCACAAGAGAAAAACACACTTTTCTTCATTTCTTTTTGAGGTCAGAAGTTAAACTCCACAAGGCAGTCAGGATGGATCTCATAACCTGGAAAGCTTCCCTTGGATGACAACCCTTTGCCTACTATAGTTGGTTCTTGGAAAACCCACAGAGATGCCAGGTGTGGTGGTACACTTTAATTTCAGCTCTCAGGAGGCAGAAGAAGGCAGATCTTTGAGTTCAAGGCCAGCCTGATCTACAGAGCTAGGGCTGTTATACAGAGAAACCCTACCTCAAAACAAACAAACAAAAACCAACCAACCAACAAAGAAAGAAAAAGGAAAACCACAGAGTTGGGTAACCAGTTGCTCTTGGCACTTTATTTCTGTTTCTGCTAGGGTCCCCTAGTGGACAATGGAAAGCATGCTAATTGGCAGCTGATGGCTATACCCCCTAAAGTCATTCTCAGTTTACAACATTTCTTTTAAAACCCTAAGCAGGATCCAGATGGCTGCAACATCCTTACAGATTTCATTCCTGGAACTCAAGCCATCTTAGCCTTGGCCTCTGGGGTCACTATTGATTGTTCTCCAAACCCATTTGAATCTCTTTAACAGACTCCTTTGCACTCAAGGAGACCATCTGCATCGAATTTTAAAGTTATATTGCTATTTAAATTACGTGTATATGTGTGTGGGGGGGTGTTGGGAGTTTTGGGGGTACATGTGTATCTGTGGAGAGGTTTTGGGTGTGTGTATGTGTGCACATGTGAGCACAGTTGCTCACTGAAGTCAGAAGAGGGCATCAGATCCCCTGGAGTTGGAGTCAAACCTGACATAGGTGCTCAGAACCAAACCTGGATCCTCTGAAAAGGCAGCTAGTGCTCTTTACCACTAAGTGATCTTCCTAGCCCCTACATCTCAGTATTTATTTATTTATTTATTTATTTATTTATTTATTTTTCAAAACAGGGTTTGTCTGTGTAACAGTCCTGGCTGTCCTGTGGACCAGGCTGGCTTGAACTCACAGCCTCCCAAGTGCTGGGATTAAAGGTGTGCCACCACCACTTGGCCTGCATCTCACTTTTTATTTGTTTCTTTGTGTTGGTTTGTTTTAAATGCAGGGCCTTTGGAGTGTGGAGATGAAACACAGGGCTTCCCACACTCTCAGCAAGGACTTTATCGTTAAGCTACCTCCACTGTGAGGGGCATCTCCCAGATACAGCCCTTGTCCATAGTGCTAAAGGAGTGGTTTCCAATGCCTCCAGTACCCATCACCCCCAACCCTTTGGTGTCTTTCTTACTAGGGAAAAACCTGAAGACATCACTACATAACACCCAGGAAGAGCGTAACTCGGTGACCCACAGGTTTGTAGTGCCAGCTCGCAAAGTCAAAGCAGAGCTTAAAACCAGGAGTTTGAGACTGCTCATGGAGACATCATGAGACCCTAACTTAAAAAACAAAAAGACAATAAAAAATGCCAGGCTTTAGGTTTAATAAGCACAGTAATTGAGTGTCCCCTTCCGGAAAAATAATTCCAAGGTGAGAGAAGACAGGTCTATCAAGTGATTAGAGTGGGGGTCAAAACAGGGGAAACCGAACTGAAATAAAGGATTTGCTGCGAGAATCAGAGCTCAAACCTGCCCTTCTTCCTGGACCCTCTCTCTTGCACAGACACCTCCCCTTGGCTTCCTATGTCCAGAGAGTAGTCCAGCTTGGCTAGAGAATGCACCTTCACTGTAAAGGCCTGTGGTTAATTAGAGGAAGTCACCGGTCTTTGGCTCAAATACCAGCTGGCCTCCCTCACCCATGCAATGTCCCTTGATGGCATTCTGTAAGGGATGGGTGACAGCTCTGTTTAATCTGGGATCCAAAGAGATAGCTGGGTGAGCAGGATGGACCCAGGCCAGGTGTGGAGTCACTTCGAGTCCGTGCTCAGCGGCTCCACCCGCAACCACAACCCGCCCTCTGCACGCAGGATCAGCTCCGGCTGCCTGCGGGGCTCCTTGTCATCCAGCAGGACGCGGAAACGCAGCAGTGTCAGCGCCAGCGCCACCTTCATCTCGTTCATGGCGAAAGTCTGTCCTATGCAGTTCCTGCGGGAGGGCGGGGACTCTTACTGTGCCGGGACCCAGCCAGGCACCGTAGGACTCAACCTGACAGGTTCCCTACCACTCTTGGACGAAACTTGCAGCCTCAGCGCCCAGTTAAGACCAGGAAGGGGCTCTGAGCACAGAGCAGCAGCCCTTCACCCAGAACCAAACCATCCCGACTCCTCCCTATTCCCACTGTCAGCCCCAGACCCCACACCATTAACCCAAGCCGCTGCCCTCACCTGGGCCCCGCTGAGAAGGGAATAAATGCCAGAGGTGACCTGTCTTTGATGTTTTCAGGGTCAAAGCGGAAGGGATCATAGACCTGCAGAAGACATTGAGCCAAGGTGGACAAGTGACCTCCCAGGACAATCAGGGACAGAGTCCTGAGTGTTCTGGGAGAGGTGAGGTCTGATTTCCTAGTTCAAACCCACACCTCCTCCCCTAGGATCCCTACTACATGATGTAGGAAAATAGGGGCTAAGACAGGCAGCACCTCAGGGTCGGGCCACACAGATGGGTTGTGATGGATGCCAAAGATGCTGATGAGGCAGATGACACCTGAGGGAGAAGAGGGGGTTGTAAAGATCAGACTGAGCTGCCTACCCAGGACCCACTTCCCCTGTCCTATGAGCACCTTTAGGGATGACCCGGCCATCTGGGAGCCCAACGTCCTGGGTGCAGCAGCGGGAGATGACAGGGACTGGGGGATGCAGCCGCAGACTCTCCTTGATGCACATGGTCAGGAAGGGCAGCTGGTTGAGGTCGTCCCTACAGAAACCCTTTGAACTATTACTCAAGGAGCCAAAGAGAGGCTGGAAGCCCATGTGGATCAGTGCAATGTTTTCCCACAGTGATAAAATAAGCCCAAGTGGGACCAAATATGCGGTAAATGGAGCAGCAGAGCATTAGGAAGTGTTCTAAATTAGGACTGCTCTCCTGCCAAGTTGGAACTTTCTGACCAGTCCTTGGCCTGCTCCCTTCTGGGTGTCTGGAACCAAAGTGGAGCTGAACACAAAACTGGGGTGGGGAAGTCATTGTAGGAGGATTTTTTTTGTTTTTGTTTTTGTTTTTGTTTTTTTTGGGAAGACTGGATGGATCAATGACCCAGGGGCCCTGGGCAGCACATAGACTGCTAGTTTATTTTACTGAGACAGAGACTCTTCACATAGCCTTGGCTATCTTGGAACTTGCTATGTAGACCAGGCTGACCAGGAACTCAGAGAGGGCCTCCTGCCTCTGCCTCTCAAGTGCTGGGGTTAAAGGTGTGTGCCACTACATCTGGCTATTTTATTTGTAGTGTGTGTGTGGGGGGGTGTGGGTGTGGGTGTGGGTGTGTGTCTTAGGGCTTCAGATCTACTGGAACTGAGTTCCTGGTGGTTGTGAGCTACCAGATGTGGATGCTGGGAACCAAACTGTACAAGAGCAGGAAGTGCTCTTAACAGCTGAGCTGTCTCTCTAGCTCCAGCACATTTTAATATCCAAATATCACCTATGAGTCCCTGAACATAGCACTACAGTAAGATCTAGGGTAGAGGAAAAGAGTGAACAGTCATGAAAGAAAACATCTATTGGAGAGAAAGGAGACTAGGGGAAGTGCTTTTACTGAACACGTGCAAAATGTCACCATCTTTTCCTTATGATTACCTGTTCTCTCAGCAACACATACGTTTCTATTCCAAAGCCAACAGCCGTTTCCTTGCTAGTCAGGCTTAGTAGCACTCACACTCTGTGCCCATGAGCAAATATAGGAGAACCAGCAAAAAGATCGACTCTTCCAGGCTTGAAGAGGAGAGCCAGGAAAGAGAAATGTGCCAGGAAGACCTACGCTCACCACTCAATCTCCTGAGGCTCTCGGTCTCTCAGCAGCTCCTGCACCTCCTGCCGGCAGCGCTCCTGGTACTCCAGGTGCTTCGCCAGGTTGTACAGGATCCAGGAGAGCCCACTGGCTGTGGTGTCATGGCCTGAGGGACAGACAGGCATAGGGACAGACTGTGCACTGCTTCAGCACTGCTGAATGGACAGCACCCAGGTAATGAAGTCCAGGAAAAGATGGGAAAGGCAAAGAAGGGTAGCATGGAAAGATTCCAGGTCCACCCAACACGGAGAAACTTCTGCCCCCTCCCTAGTGGGACCCTCACCCTCAAACATGAAGGTGTCAGCCTCCGCTCTGATGTCCTCATCTGACAGCTCCTTTCCATCTTCATCCTGAAGACAAAGCAAAACCCACTCCCATCACAGCAGTTCTGAAAATTTCTGTGTTCAAACTATGACATTCTCAAAAGATCCATTGTTCAGGCAGAAACCATCACTGCATATCTCATGGCTATTACTACTGGTCCAATCTGAACTTCCCAGACCTTTTTTTTTTTTTTCTTTCTAGTTATCCTGTCCCCTGTATTGTCCACAGTTGGAGGAGTCAGAAACCCACACATAAATGTCACCATGTTTCCACTTGACAAGGAATTTCTGAGACTTGATGAGGATGAGTGTATGGCTACTTGCCTTGGAAATTAGAAGTAAAGCTTTACTCCAAACTTTTACCCAGATTCAAAAGTGCTGGTTCCAGTGAATCTTATCTTACCTGTCGAAACATTTGGTTTGCAAATCTATAGACTTTGCCCTGGAGAGAAGCTGTTCAACTCTAGAACAAAGTTTTCTCTCTCTCCTTCCTCCCTCCCTTTCTCTTTGTTCACTATTTACCACCTGGAGGGGAACTAGACTCATGTACTCCTGTTATTCTACACGAACCACAGATAGTAATGCACTTTCTCTGTGGGGGAAGCCCTGGTGCACATGCTGGTAAACACTTTATCTCCTGAAAAGGGGAAAATGGAAAGGCCATTGCTACATCCTATTCTGGCCTGTTGCCATGACTGATTAAGGGCTGCTGTAATCATTAATTTGGGGTAGTTGCCAGCGTGTGTGTGTGTGTGTGTGTGTGTGTGTGTGTGTGTGTGTGTGTACAGATATAAATGCCATACAATGATGTATTAACATGTAAAATGCCAGGCTCTTCAAAGTTACAATCTTGGCAGCCTCCCAAAGTCTGCATTCCAGAATTATCTCTAAAATCTGCCAGTGTATGCCATGTCTCTCCCAACCCCACACCCCTGTATGACTCCACAGTGCCCCCTGTATCAAGATCATGTTATTTCACTTGACGTTTGGCTTAGATACCCATCCTATCTATGCTTCTTGAGAGGCCCACCTTGATCAGCAGCAGCACATCGATGAAATCCAACGTCTTGGACTCAGCCTTGGTCTTAAGGAAGTCATCTAAACCTTGATCTGGGAGGGTGCGGCGCCGCTCCTGGATGACAGCGTCAGTGAATTCATGCACCAAGCTGCAGGCCTTACGGAAGCGCATCCCATCAGGGGTGAGATGGTACAGCAGGTCCATGTACAGCAGAGGCTGCTGGTGCCTTTTAGCTACTAGAGCACTGAGCTCCAAGATGGCAGCAATATATTCACTGGACTTCCTGCAGGATTTGGACAAAGACAGCAATATAATATATGTGAATCTTATGCCTCTTACCCGCAGTCAGAAGCCATTGGGAATGGAATAGCCAGGAACAATTGGCCACAGAGGCAGAATGGAATGAGCCCTGAGATTCAGACCAGCTAAGGCTACATAGCAAGACCTTGTCTCAAAAATGTTTTATTTATTTATTTTCATTGTATGTGTTTTTCCTGATGTATGTATGTACACTGGTGCCCTCGAAGGGCAGAAGAGTGTGTTGGGTCACCTGAAACTGGAATTACAGATAGTTGTAAACTTCCTCGTGGTGCTAAGAATCAAACCCAGGCAGGCTACAAGTACTATCTCTCTAGCCCAATATAAAAAATATTCAAGACCATAGAACTTCAAGATGTCAGGTCTAGGGAGGAATTTTAGGACATTAGGTATGCTCTCGATGGGGATATTCTATCTGCCTCTTTGTCTGTCTGTCTGTTTCTGCATGGCATGGGGCGTCAGACTCTTTTAACAGGTGCTCCTGGCTGTGATGTGGTGTTGCATAGGCTCAGAAGCAATGGGGTCCACCAAACGATCATTGCCTAAGGCTTTTGAAACCACAAGCCAGAGCAAGTCTTCCCTCATTTCAGGCTCTTTCAAGCACTTGGCCACATTGTTGGAAATACGACTAACACTAACACCTTCATAGTTTCCCTGAAACCACAGGCTAAAAGTACATCACTGACAAAGCAGGGAGACAGTTTAAAATTTCCTGCTTCAGTGAGAAGTCTGCCTGACACTCTATGCCCCATAGGCTAAAGATGAATATCCCAATATTACAGAGGAACTTTGGGTGACTGTCCAGGCAGCAAGATGTCTCTGTCAATACTAGAGTTTATATATTGCCCTTCTGAGGTCTTTGATGGAGTCAAAGACAAATAGTTATGGTTTTCATTAGTTACGACAAAAAAATAAGTTACATATAAAAGTTTAGACTCACAAAGATAGGATAGATAATAGAATATTTTCTTTAAATTTTGCCAAATGTTAATGGACTAAATATTGTTAACTATAGTTCTTACTTGATAACTGTTTTGTTATATATAATCTTACTATGTTAAAGTTAAAACCTTTCTTTTTATTTAGACAGAAAAGAGGAAATGATGGGGAATGTCCTTCTGTATATATGTTTCTCTTTTTGATTGATGAATAAAACACTCTTTGGCCAATGAGGCAGGAAGATAGGCAGGACTAGGAAATGAGGAGAATTCTGAGAGAGGTAGGCAGAGAGAGCCCATCAAAGACAGAGGCCATGGAGGGACTGAGAGGATAGAATGCACCAGGTGTTCTCAGGTAAGCCAAGACAACATGGAAATACATAGACTAATAGAATGGGTTAATAATTAAGACAGAGCTAGCCAATAAGAAGCCCTAGCCATCAGGCAACAGTTTATAATTAATATAGCATCTTTGTCTGTTCATTTGGGGCTGAAATGGCTGTGAACCTGGTGGAAAAGAGACCTTTGCAACACCCTGGCCTGCTGATTCCTTAAATTTTATTTCCAAGATGCCTCCCCACTTCCTGTCCTACAAGATATGCTTATCACCATCTTTGTGGCTTTACTGAAACAATTCCACCTCCTGGAAGGAAGACACACTTTCTTCTTTCCCAGGTCTTTCAGGGTTGGTTCCGAACCATCTCCTCTAGGGAGGCCACTCTGATCGCCCTGATCAGTCCTCCCTCCTTTTGGTTCACAACCCAGGTTCTGAGGCCCAGAACAAGAACTCACTCCTGACAGTTGCTGTTAACGCTGAAGACGCATTTCTGTAGACTGTCCAGAGTCATGAGGCTGACGTGCTCAAACATGTCCAGACGGGTGCTGCCTTTGGAGATCAAGTGCTGCCACTTGGCCTGGCAGAAGGAGAGAAGACGGGGATTGGACCTTGGCTCTTTGAGACCCTGCCTAATCTCAACCCCTGACCCAGTACCAGTTTCCTCATCTTATGCTCCAGTCGCACAAACCCAGAAATAGCCAGCATTTGGGAAAGAGGGGAAGTTGTGACTCAGGGATCCGGGCACTCACATGCATGATGTTGGTGCTGTCATTGAAAATCTTCACATAGGGCTTCAGGAAGTTGAAATGGAAGGCGGGTGTCAGCATGCGACGGTGACGGCTCCACTTGTCACCAGCACTCACCAAGAGCCCGTCCCCTGATGGAGCAGCCACCATATCAGGCAAGAGTAGCACCTTTCCCTCACCCCCCAAGGGTGTCCTTTGCCCCTCACCTGCAGACACTCACCCAGCCAAGGTTTCAGAAAGCTGTAGAATATCACATCCTTGAGCGCAACTGCAGCTGCCATGAACAAGGACAGTCACGAGTCATGGAGTGGGTGAGGACAGACTATGGAAGGTGGGTGAGAGTCCCTTCCAGAAGTCTGCACTTCCCTCCAAAGTCCACATGCCATGAAAAGAAGCAATGACAGAGGAAGAAAGGCGGAGTTGAAAGTCAGAAAAGTGAAGGCTAGACCAGGCGACAGCAGTGTCCGCAGGGAAGGCAAAGGCACCGCTTGACATGCTGCAGTATGCTGCAGCACCACTTCACATGGCTTGTACATAGTCTAACATGTCTGCCATACCTGAGCCCATCGCAGCACTCTGTGGCATTTACTAGAACCTAGGTCCTTGTCATCTAGGCCCCCTAGGTATCTGACATTTCCTGAACAGATATGTGACACATATGGACACATAAGGGTTAATGTGACATGGCATGGCCTTAGCACGTTTAACTACCCTGACATCATGACCCCTCGTGCTATAACATGGACCAGAAATTATCTGACAGACCTCTGTGTATACCCTAGACAAGCCACTGACAAAATCTGACAATGGTTGTGTATGGTGGTTTGAATAAGAATGTGTCCCACTGGGGCTGGAGAGATGGCTCAGAGGTTAAGAGCACTGACTGCTCTTCCAGAGGTCCTGAGTTCAATTCCCAGCAACCACATGGTGGCTCACAACCATCTGTTATGAGTTCTGGTGCCCTCTTCTGGTGTGCAGATATACATGGAAGCAGAATGTTGTATACATAATAAATAAATAAATAAAATCTTTAAAAAAACAAAAAAAAAGAATGTGTCCCAGATTTTGGAAACTTTAGGTGTGCTGTCAACTTTGGAAAAAAGTATCCCAGTTTACCGCGTTCAGTTGGCATTGTACAAAAATTAACAGCCATATTGTTCTAGAAATGTTGAACTTATTTTTTTTCCATTTGTACAGGGGTAAGGCACTGTATTAAATATGTAAGGTCTTAAAAAAAAAAGAAGGGATTTTGAGAGCCCATCCCATATGAAGGGATGCTCTCTTTACCTGGACACATGGGGAAGGGCCTAGGCCTGGCCCAGGATGATGTGGTAGACTTTGGAGAGCCCCTTTTGAGGGCCTTACCTTGCCTGGGGAGCGGAGGGGGGATGGCTAGGGGCAGGTGGGATGTTGTGGGGGAAGGGAGGGAGAAGGGATTGACATGTGAAGCAAGCTTGTTCCTAATTTGAACTAATAAAATAAAATTTAAATTTAAAAATAAAGAATGTGTCCCAGAGGCTAATATACGGAATACCTGTTCCCCAGCTGATAGCACTGTTTAAGGAGGTTTAGCAGGTGCTGCTTTCCTGGACGAAATGCCTCCCTTGCGTCGGGTCTTTGGGAGTTCAGACTCTAACTACTTCTAGATTGCTCTTTCTTCTTTGTGTTTATGGCTGAATATGTGACCTCTTGGTTTCCTACTCCTGTCACAATGCCTCCATCACCATTATGGACTTTTTCTTCTGAAACCACAATCTAAAATAAACTCTTCCCGCTATGAGTTCCCTTAGTCATGGTGTTTTATTACAGCAACAGAAAAGTAATGAAGGCATTGTGGGTTTTGTAATTTCCTACACTCAAGAGGTTAAAGCAAGAAGATCCAGAGTTTGGGGATAGCCTGGACTGAGCAGCAAAACAGTATCTCTAAAACCAACCAACAAACAAACAAAACTCAAAAGCTCCATTAGTTTACCAGGTGTGACCCACATTGTGATCTCACCTGGAGGTTCTTACAGTCTTGCCTTGGATTCAACATGGATAAGGCATCCATCATTTCTCAGAAGGACCATGGGTCCCAGATAGCCCCAAAGACGGCCCAGAGATGAAAAACAAGATAAGAAGGTCATCTCCAATAGCTTCTCAGAACCTGCCATGCCTCAAATATTCAGATCCAAAGGTAAGCCCAGACATGACCATTATCATGTATCCCAGTTGCAACAAATACAAATGCAAACAAAAAAAAGAGGGATGGATATGTAAATGTAAACTTGCAACAGCTATGGCCACACAGATGAGATCACATAATTATGTTCACAGTGTGATCAGACTTGAGAAAGGGCATGCACAGGTCAGAAAGATTTAAGAGCATCAGTGCCACCACTCAGCCTGTCTGCCTGATACACATTACATTATCAGCCAGAGGGATCACAGAGTCCCCAGTTACGGGTAAGCTGGAGCCAGTGCAGTGTCCACCTGGAGTGAAGAGCATGGGCTTCATGGAAGTGGGGTGGTCTGGACTGGGAAGGTGACTCAGTGGATAAAAGCACTCACCCTAAGTCTGAAGACCAGAGCCTGTGTCCCCCAAACCAGATGTGGTGGCACATGTCCATAATCACGGTGTTCATATGGTAAGAGAGGAGCCAGAATCAAAAGGGTTCTCCACCTGCCCCTGAAGCTTGAGGGCTATCCAGCTAGGATGTATATACAGGAGCAAACAATGAGGGACCCTGTCTCAAACAAGGTGGAAGTCAAGGATCAACACCCAGTGTGCCCTCTAACCTTCACACGTGTCCCACGGCGTATGTATGCCTGCACCACACACACAAACATGCCCTCCCACAAATATTTTTTATGTCTTTTTTAAAAGATTTATTTTTTATGGATACAACCTCCAGCCTCCATGTCTGTCTGCATGCCAGGAGAGGACACCAGATCTCATTGTAGATGGTTGTGAGCCACCATGTGGTTGCGGGGAATTGAACTCAGGACCTCTGGAAGAGCAGTCAGTGCTCTTAACCTCTGAACTATCTCTTCAGCCCTCCCACAAATATTTTAAAAACTAAAGTGGGGTGGTCAGTTTAGATGCTCAAATTCCAGGGCATAACTGAAATAATTTGGCAGCCAGAAAGTGTCAGGCCCACGTGCCTGGCAAGAGACAGAGCTGTAGCCATGCTTCTCTTTCCCTTCTTAGCTTGTCCTGTCCCAAGATGGGAAGATGAAAATGCAGGAGAAGGGGACTAGGCTGTGATGGATGTCCTGGAGGAGACTTCTGAGCCCTGACAAGACACCAATCAAAATAAGGTGATCAACCAACTGGGCGGGGTGGAAGGATCAACTCAGCAGAGTTGGTGGTGTGGAAAGCACAGACCACATTCTCTAGCCGTCACAGTCTTCTCATTGCTCTGAGCCTAGAGAGGTTTTTTTTCTGGTTCTAGGCCTTGGCCTCAGATGTTTCCGATACCTACTGAGCCACCTGGCCATGGCTTCAACATTCCTGCTCATGCCCACAAACAGCTTGAACAACTCCTCCTACAGGAAGCCTTTGCACATATTCTAGCAGAGACCACTCCTTTCCACATAGCTGTCAGGGACCCTCTCCTACTGACAACACATGCTTAAGGATGTCCCTGTTCTATCTCAAGAATTGACTTTCTCTAGGGCAAGACCTTGGGTTGAAGACAACTGGGGATCCGGAAAAGTCCAGAACACCAAGATCCAGGTGGGCACAGAAAGTAGAGCATTTGGGAGCTGGTGAAACCATGAAGAGAAGAGAGAGGCTGTCAGAGAAGAAAGGAGGAACTGGACCACTGCAGGAACCTCACAGAAGTATGTGGGTAGGGACTGAGGAAACCCTCAGATTCCCACCACCAGTTCCCATGGGTACCTGAGGCATTGAGGATAGATCTGACGATGTCAGAGTGGCACAGAGTGATAATGGGGAACATTGGGCCCATCCACATCATAAAGCCCTGGGGGTAGGTGACCACCAACTGTGTCAGTTTCTTCATGCCCTGCTCTGTAGGAGTTACCTGCAAGCAAGCAATACAGGAACAGTCACCTCCTGAGGTGGTTTATAGCAGGGATCAAGTTGTCTGGGTTAAGGGATACCCAGGTGTGTTTGAGATGGTATTTTGAAAATAATTATTATTTGCATCAATAGACAGCATGGACAACACCATCCAACCTACTGAAGATCCAGAGAGACTGGCAGAGAAGGGGAATATTTAATCCCTTTTCCAGAGCTGGGACACCTTTCTTCTTCTGCCATCAGATATCTAAATTCAGGTCCTTGAGATGTTGAGCTCCAGTTTTGTGAGTCTTTCTCTGTCCCACCTGCCAGCTCCCAAATTACGACACAGAAACTTACTATTAATTATGAAAGCTCAGCCAATAGCTTAGGCTTGTTTCTAACTAGCTCTTATTTTTTTTAAAGATTTTATTTATTTATTATGTATACAACATTCTGCTTCCATGTATATCTGCACACCAGAAGAGGGCACCAGATCTCATTACAGATGGTTGTGAGCCACCATGTGGTTGCTGGGAATTGAACTCAGGACCTCTGGAAGAGCAGTCACTGCTCTTAACCTTTGAACCATCTCGCCAGCCCTCTAACTAGCTCTTATAACTTAAATCAATCTCTTTCTTTCTTTCTCCTTCTTCTTCTCCTCCTCCTCCTCCTCTTTCTTTTCTGAGACAGGGTTTCCCTGTGTAGCTTTGGAGTCTATCCTAGAACTAGCTCTTGTAGACCAGGCTGGTCTTGAACTCACAGAAATCTGCCTGCCTCTGCCTCCTGAGTGCTGGAATTAAAGGCGTGTGTCACCACTGCCTGGCTAATTAACCTATTTCTATTCATTTACCTTCTGCCTCATGGTTTTATTGCCTCATATCCATTGTGCTCATCCTACTTGCTCGGTGTCTCCCAGCATCTCTACCTTCTTCTTCACAGAATTCTCTCTGTCCTCAAAATCCTGCCTAACTATTGGTCATTCAGCTTTTTGTTTGTTTGTTTTTTTGAGACAGGATTTCTCTGTGTTGGAGCTCTGGCTGTCCTGGAACTTCCTTTGTAGACCAGGCTGGCTTCAAACTTAAAGAGATCTGCCTGCCTTTGCCTCCTACATGCTGGGGGATTAAAGGTGTGAGCTACCACTACCCAGTGTCATTCAGTTTTTTATTAAGCCAATCTGAGTGACACATCTTCACAGTGTACAAAGATTATTCCAAAACTCTGGAATTCCACAACCTGAGCCCCTACATGCCCTTGGGTTCTCACACTGTTGTTCCAAGACCGAGTTGGTGACAGCCCAGATTTCTGTTTGCAGATGGCTTACTGAGGTACTCCTTCATCTCCACAAAGACATAAGTCAATTCCCATAATGTAATGTGCCCCCTCTCTCTTCTACCTTGCTTTACATGTGTATAGTTATGTATGTGAGTATACATGACTGTATATACATGGTTATACGCTGCATAATGATGCTTTTGTCAAAGACAGACTGCACAGATGAGCTTGTCTCTATGACTTCAATGAAACTAAAGAATCTCTGTAGCCTATAATATTCCCTGTCCATTTCTATGTTTAGATACATTCAGATGCATAAATACCATGATATGACGAATTATATACAGTGTTCAGGATGCACCATGATGTACAGATCTGAACAACAATTGGTACCAAAGAAACTAGGTGTACAGTAAACTACACTGAGTAGGTTTGTGACAATACCGCTTTTGGAAAAATTTCTCAGAATGTCCTCATCACTCCTTGATCTCTCTCTCTCTCTCTCTCTCTCTCTCTCTCTCTCTCTCTCTCTCTCTCTCTCTCTTTGTGTGTGTGTGTGTGTGTGTGTGTGTGTGTGTGTGTGTGTACTATTTGTTCTCCAGAAAACCATAATTAAGTTACTTTCCCTTCTGCAGCTGGAAGTGACACAACTTCTGTCATAAGTGAACTTATGTCTAGATTTTTCTCCTTCTGTTTTGTTCCTCCCAGAGCCATGTCAAAGGCCCAAGTGTCCATTCTAGGCCCAGTGGACAAGTTAAGTTATGTACCCATGACCTTCCATGTCCTGGCTGGTCCACAAAGTCTCTAGTTCTTCCCCTGGACAAAGGGCCACACATCAGGCACCTCCATTGGCAGGTTCCAGGGGAGCAGGAGTGACCTCTATGTCTCCATTAGGATAACAGCACCCACCCACCAGCACCAGCTGCCCACCAGCCTCAGAGCATCTCCAACCTCTGTTCACAGCCCATACTGAGCCATTTACTAGTGTAGCGACTACAGCTAAGCCACCTAAATAGGAGAACAGATAGGAGTCCAAAGTGTGGGGTAAAGAGTGGGGTCAAGGAAGGTCCACGGGAGGGTGAGTGGGTAAAGGGTGGGGCCAAGGAAGGTTCATGGGAGGGTGAGCAGATGGACAGCTTTTCTCCAGGTCTATCTTAGGGAGAAGAGCATGATAATGAGGAAGTGGCCCAGGGTGTGAGGTGGGGAGTGAGCCTGCAATTCTGCTGTAGCCCAGCTGTGCCCCACCTGTGTGTGGTTAGGGAGAGAGATCAAAGATCAATAGTAGAGAACTGTAGGACATAGATGGGCTCACACAAAGAAACTGTCTCAGTCCCCCAGGAGGGCTAGAATCCAACAAGCAGACACTGAGGAAATGTCAGGGGTCTTCACTCTGTACATCCCATCCTGAGACCTTCTCAGCACCCTCCAGTGTGAAGAAGATAGTTGAAATGCCAGGGCAGACTGGCGCAGGAGAACAGGGAAGTGAGAAGGGAGGGCATACCCAAGATCACCAGCTAACCCACTCCGTCAGTCTGAGCCCCATTCCTGGACCCTTAAAAGACCCTCCACTCCATCACCACCACCAATCCTGATGCTACACTTACCATGCCCACATGACCCATAAGCCAGTTCTGTTTGGGGGGCTGAGGGAAACCACGGAGGCGATGATAGTTCCCATGGGCAGCATAGATCTGGGTCAGAATTCTGGCCAGGAGCCAGAGGGCCCCAACCAGCATCATGAGCTGCCATGGGGAAGCCACCTCAGGCGCCAGTCCCAGCCAGGACAGGCTCAGCTGTGACATCCTGCTGGGTAGGTAAACACACAGTGAATAATTGAGGTCCAGGAAAGGGGCAGGAATCTCCAGAGACACTGGATAGAGGACAGAGCAGGAAGGAGGAGTGAGATCCAGGGAAATGCAGGGGAAGAGGCTATAAGAGTGGAGAAGAAAATAAGGAAGAGGAGGAGGAGCATGGTGATGAGGGGGTGGTTAGCAAAATGTAGAGGAGGAGAGAGATTGATCGGAGCTAAGACCTCCCTAAATTATGCAAAACTAACCATGGGTTTAGTTATTCAGAAACTACCATCCCCAAGGCCAGCTGGCTCCCTGCAGCATTTGTGCTTGGCCAGCTGGCTTTCTGCCATGCCCTGGCCTTGGGTTGTACCCTCTCTCTCCCAGACTAGGTCACTACAATATCACCACCCCCAGCCTACATGTCTTCTCAGAAACAGCAATCTAACATACCTTCCCTCTCCTCTTCTGGGACTCTTGTCCCTGGCTTCTGGATGCTGGGAGGCTGGGCTGTTCTAAAGCAGCCAATCCCTGCCAAGCCTGCATGCCTCCTCCTTGCCTGGGAAAGTGGCCAAGATGGGGGTAGAATCAGCCTGATGCAGAGAGGGATCATCACAGGCTGGCAAACCGTGGACACCTGAATCTGAGGACTACTGTGGGACAAGGTTGACTCTGAGTTATGTATTTCCAGCATCCCTGCTCCTCCATGGACATGGTACACTAAGTAAAAGGGTGAACTTGGGAATCCAGAAGCTGGGAGACAGAATCTGGCCAGCCTGTCCTGACCATCTCCGGAGCTGCTGTCCAATGGGTTGTGAGGATCTCAGGTAGCCCTTTTCAGTACCATATGAGAAGGTTATGGGACTGAAGAGTCTGCCCACTTGCTGCTCAGCCTGGTGGAGTTCAAGTCCTATCTTCTTAGTGGAAACAAGACTTTCCAGCGCAGAAACAAAAAATGAACCCCAATTGGGGTTTACAGGTCTAAAACCAGGGATCAAGAGTCCAGCTGAGACTGAGATGGGTTGAGCTGGGAAGTGCAGAGCAGAGTAGTCATGTGGGGTGAGAGAGACCTTGAACAGATGGGATCCAGGGGAAGGTAAACATGTTCATGTATGTGCGTGTGCGTGTGCGTGTGCGTGTGTGTGTGTGTGTGTGTGTGTGTGTGTGTGTGTGTGTGTGTGATATGAAGGTGCGGATGTAAAGATTTCACTAGACCCAAGATAAATGATAAATGAGTGTTTATTGGAACACTTACAAGAAAAAATAAAGAACCACAGGAGTGATTCTCTGCCCTTCATGTGTGTGCCAGCAGAAGCCAGAAGAAGATATCTGCTCCCCTATAGCTGGAGTTACAGGTGCCTGTGGACCACTTGACATGGGTGTTAGGAAATGATCTCTGGACGAGCCGCAGACATTCTTAACTGCTGAGCCATCTCTCTAGTTCCCTTCCTTCCTTCCTTCCTTCCTTCCTTCCTTCCTTCCTTCCTTCCTTCCTTCCTCCCTTCCTTTTCTTTCTTTCTTTTTTTTTTTTTTCCAGACGGGGTTTCTCTGTGTATTCATGGCTGTCCTGGAACTTGTTCTATAGACCACGCTGGCCTTGAACCCACAAAGATCCATCGGCTTCTGTTTCCCAAATGCTGGGATTAAAGCTATGCACCATCACTCCCAGCCCACCTCCTTCCTTTTCTAAAATGGAGCCCAAATAATGCTTTAGTTAATATTCACTCTTCTGAATGATCATAATTTGTGTATTTTGCTGTTTTGAGACAGTGTTTTATGCTAACTTAAGCTTCTAAACCTCTCAGCTCTAACCCTGAGTAGAATTACAGGTGTGCTCCAGAATTCTCAGTTGATACAGACTAGGAAATCAAACCTAGGAGCTTCACAGAACTTTAGTTCCACACCAAGAAATGTTAGATACCATCCTTCCACCTTGTGCTGCCCTGGGGCGGGGATGACCTAGTCCTGGTCTCCTGGCCTCTGAAATTCTCATCTTTTGCCTATTGTATCCTGTCCTTACAAGAGGACAGGAGCTCGGGAGCTCAACATGTGGTAACTCAGAATCACCATTGTCCTTCATTCTTGTCCCTCATCCCAGAAGGGAGTGCCCAGGTTCTAAGGATCAAGTGCTTTAGAGCCCTGATTGCTTTACCTTTAAACAAGGCGGGCCCTGCCTCCACATCTTGGCCACCTTCCCAGGCTAGGAGCAGGCAACTAGGTCTGTAATACATTGGCTGCTCCAGTTCAACCCAGCCCCTCATAAAGTGCCCTCCACCCCAGGTCAGGATCCAGAAACAGAGATATCCCAAAAGAGGGGGCTGTGGGTTACACATGAGAAGGTACCAAGCTGATGCTGGTGGGGCTATAAGGTCCTGGCTCAGGATGGGGTGAACACTGCCAACGGGTAATGTAGCTGCAGGGAGCGGGCAGTCCAGGAGATGGGGATTTCTAGGCAACTGAGTCACGGGTCATGCCCATACAATTTAGACAGGTCTGAACTTATCCCATCTCTCTTTTCCATGTCTTCATAGTCTAATATCCTCTTCCTCATCTTCTGCCCCCTTCTCATCTCTTGTCATGCATTTCCTTGAATATCCCTCTTATTTGCTCTGTCCCTAGCCCAAGTAGTAACCGTTCCCGTCCACTGTTCCTGAAGGTCCTTGCTCCTCTCCTGAGCTTTTGTAAAATTATAAATTAGAATCCTAGGGTTATGTTCCAGTTTGTAGAGTACAACATGCCTAGCATCAAAGAGGATAGGGGTGGAGAGATAGCTCAGCAGTTAAGAACACTGCTCTTCCAGAGGACTCAGGTTCAACTCCCAGCACCCACATGGCCCCTCACATGTGTCTGTGAGTCCTGTTCCGGCACTTCTGGCATCCTCACACATACATGCAGGCAAAATACCAATGAACATAAAATGAAAATAAAATCAAAATAATATAATAAAAAAAAGACCAGGTCATCCCTGCCCCAGAACAGCACAAGGTGGAAGGATGGTATCCAACATTTCTTGGTGTGGAACTAAGGTTCTGTGATGCTCCTGCCAGACAGCCCCACAGCCTGGGAAAATTCACGGACTTCCTTTAAGGCTTAGCTTCTAATCAGACAAGGGCCCAGGTGAAAAGGATCAGGAATAAAGAACCCAGCCCTGCTGGAGATTACCCAGGTCAGGTTGCAAAGATAAAGAGCCCAGCTGCCAGAACATGGCTAAGGCAGGGCCAGCTCCAGGGCAAGGGGTAGCAGGATGAGAGAGAGCTCACATGGGGCAGGACTGAAAAGGTTTCTGAGAAGATGGGGTCCACAAGGGGAGGATAGAACAAGGGGGCACCGGGTGAATCCTCTTTCTACCCCATCTTTCTCTGACTGTGGGGACGGCCAGCTCTCTTGACTGCAGTTCTCATGGCTGGGGAGTGAGATGTCCATTGAGCCTTCCAGGAGGAAAAGGGGGGGGCAAAAAGGAGTGAAGGAAGAGTAATTACTAGGGGAGCTGCCATGAGCAAGTACTGTATGCCGAGAGCATGTGTAGGGGAATGTCCTGGTCAGGGTTTCTATTGTTGCGATGGAATACCATGACCAAAAAGCAAGTTGGGGGGAAAGGTGTTCATTTGGTTTATACTTCCATATTGTTCTTCATTATTGAAGGAAGTCAGGACAGGAACTCAAGCAGGGCAGGAACCTGGAGGCAGGAGCTGATGCAGAGGCCATGGAAGGTGCTGCTTACTGGCTTTTTCCTCATGACTTGCTCACCTGCTTTCTTAGAGAACCCAGGACCACCAGCCCTGGGATGGCACCTCCCACCAAGGACTGGGCCCTCCCCCGTTGATCACTAATTGAGAAAATGCCTTCCAGCTGGATCTCATGAAGGCATTTCCTCAGCTGAGGCTCCTTCCTTTCTGATGACTCTAGCTTGAGTCAAGTTGACACATCTAAACCAGCCAGTACAGGAAAGTACTACATTGCCCAGCATCTTCTCCTTAAAGTGTGCTTACTGCACACTGGGTGTCTGTGGTCTTAATCTTGGTTGTCAGCCTCTGGACAGGCTTATGAGGCTATTTCCTGGAAAGATGAACCAGAGAGGAAAACCCTCCCCTAGAAGGCAGGACCTTCCGACTGCAGCCCTGATATAAAGAGGTCTGAAGGAAAAACGGTTGTTTTTTCCTGCCCACTTTCACCATTGTTGGTGAGCAGATCTACTTTGAATCTGCCGCCATTTGCCGACACTGGAATCTAGATGTGTCATTCTTCCAATGTCATTCTTCCAATGTGGACTGGAGACCAACGGTTCTTCAGGTACCCTCCAAGTTTCGAACTGCTAAGGCGAGGCATCTGGCTTCAAGGACTGAACAAGCATAAGGTTCTCAACTTCACCATACAGACATCTCAACCTCTCCACTATACAGACCCAGCCAGAATTGTGTAAGGCATGCTAATACACCCCCTAGTACTGTATTGTCATTGTATCGGCTCTGTTCCTTTAAAGGACTGTGACGACCATGATGATATGTCTATTCTTGCATGCTGGCAACATCAAGTTTTCCTACCATGCACTCCTCAGCAGTCCGGGCCAGAGTCCTGGATGCCACGTGGGGAGACACAAGTGACGACATCCAAAGGAGAGAAGATGCCCACTTAATAGAAGAGCTAACTGCTGCTCAGGAAGGACAAGTCCCTAGCCCAGATCACATGATCCCCCCTTAACCTACTGGAGCCTGTCCCAGGCTCTGTGATTGGTCCCAAAGAGCAAGGGCTCAAAGAGTCAGACTCCTAGCAGAACTGCCATAAGGGAAAGGGACGGGGTGAGAGTCAGGGCTCCTGATACTGTAGAATGTTAGGAACCGCCTCGCCTCCCTCTACCTGCCTCATTGCCATCTCAGTTCAGTCAACAAGAACAGCAGGAGTGTCTCTAGAGTCCTCAAAGGGGTGGTATGTGCCCTTCCCAGAATCCCCACTGCAGCCAAGGACGCACGCATTGAACCCATGAAGATGTCTCCTTCGTGTCTGCTGTTCTCAAACTGTTCTGTAGAGGGAGCAGTCTCTCACTAGCCCAGCAGAAGCAGGCACTAGTCTCTTTGAGGAATTGCAGTCACCTGTAGCAGTTCCAGAGACCCACAAACCCCCATCCCCCAACTCATCCCGAGCTCTGTGATCCTAGGCAGAATCTTCAAAGCCTGTTCAGAGCAGGAAATGAAACAATGTGGCACATACGTTACTCTATGAAATAATTTACTTCATCATAAAGGAAAAAATGGAGTATTTCCTGGTAAAACGAATCTTTGGTTTGGTTTTTTGTTGTTGTAGTTGTTGTTTGTGTTTTTTTTCTAGACAGGGTTTCTCTGTGTGTCCTTGGCTGTCCTGAAACACACTCTGTAGACCAGTCTGGTCCTGAACTCACAGAGATCCACCTGACTCTGCCTCGAAAGTGCTGGGATTAAAGGTGTGCACCACCACCACCTAGCAAAAAGAATCATTTTTTAAAGCTGATGGGAACCATAAAAAGTGTACTCAGTTGTACAAAATATGTGTAAGACATCTGTGATGAAGCCGGGCGTTGGTGGCACACGCCTTTAATCCCAGTACTCGGGAGGCAGAGGCAGGCGGATCTCTGTGAATTTGAGACCAGCCTGGTCTACAAGAGATAGTTCCAGGACAGCCTCCAAAGCCACAGAGAAACCCTGTCTCGAAAAACCAAAAA